CAATAGTTTGGTTACTGTGCTTCCAAACTGGCAACATTTTTACTGCATTATCTAGCTGTGATAGAGTAGCCAGCAACATACGAGGGGATGCCCAAAAAAAAAACAGGAATTATTTTTTAAAGGATATTTATTTTCAACTTTTTCACAAAGTAACCTTATCTCCTTCAAAATACTATACACTACAACTAATACACTTGTCCCATCGGTGCTTCCACTGCTCGAAACATTTTTTGAAGTCTTCCTTAGAAATGCCTGACAGCTCCTCCCTCGTTTTTTTCTTAACCTCTTCATTGTCGTCCTTTCATGCCTTTTCATCCGTGGAAATAAGAAAAAGTCGCACGGAGCCAGGGTAGGCGAATAAGGTGCGTGAGCCAGCGAACCATGCCATTTTTAGCAAGCAACTGTCGAACAGAGATGGCTGTGTGCGCAGGTGCATTATCGTGACTGCCAAAAATCGGGTCTTTTTGCCGAGTTTCTAAGCACGACAAGTTTCAACTCGGTGTTCTTTTTGATTGTCAGTCAGAGTCCGAGGAACAAACTTGGCAGCAATCCTTTTCATTCCCAAATCTTCTGTTAAAATTCGCTGAACCAAACCCCAGAACAACCCACTACTTATGGATAGTTGATCGATTGTCAGACGACGGTCTGCAAGTACAAGCTCTCGAATTTTTTCAACATTTTCGTCGATTCGGGCAGTTGATGGACGTCCAGAGCGAGGTTGTCATCAGTAGACAGCTCGCCATTTTTAAATCGAGTAAACCACTCGTACACCTGAGTTTTTTCCATAGCATCATCTTTGTAAGCTATTTGCAACATTAAAACAGTTTCAGCAGCATTAGAAAGCAAAATTTCACAGCTGCACGTTGCTCACTGAAGCTTGCCTTCGTAAAAAACGAAACAAGCTCGAAAAAGCTCTAGCAAAAACAATGAATACAGAGGAACTAAACAAGCCAGATCGACAACGCAGGTGGCACTGAACTAGTAATGAGTTGCGCTGTACACCTCTAGGGGCAGAAATGTGTACTACACAAGCTCCGCCCACTGCAATGCTATTCCGGTTATTTTTGGGTACCTCCTCGTATATACGGCAATATTTTAAGCATCGCTGGCTACATTACTGCACTTGTTTCACATTTCTGACCTGTTTGCATTTAGCTCTTCGAAAATATTCTCTCAGCGTACTGAGCAGGTACATTGTTTGCCCGCTGTGTTTGCCTTGATGCAATTCGTGGGCATCTAATATCTATGTCTAAAAGAGCCGCTTTTTTTAATTAACTACCTTCATCAATGAACATGAGGTACAATTTCCAATAATGCACTAACGGGCATGCAGTGCTACAAAATCGAAAAACACAGAATCGCTATTTTATTTGCATCAAGCTGAACGTATAGGCAACCAGACTTACGCAACCACCTTATTTAAACGCTATCATCGATGCGCTTACATTTTGATAAGGGTTGCCACGTGTGGTGATTTTTACCAATTCTGGTGATTTTTTACCAGTTCGTATCATTACATATTTTTAAAAATTCTGTATTTTATTAAATTAATCAAAGAGATTCGAAAGTCATTATTTTTGTTGCCCTTCTCGTGGGAAATTCTGAAAACTCAATGTTTACACATTCCAGACAATATTGCCAAAATGTAGCCGAGATATCGTTACTTGATAGGTAGGTATAGCCGAGATCAACGAATTCTAAACTAGGTAGAAAGAGCAGGTCTACCATTTGTTTGTCTCCAAAATCTCAATCTGAAGTCAGGATGGAAGCACATACTACAAGTGGACATAAGACTTTGGTAGGCAATGGTGTTCAAATTAGTCAAAAATATGCAATGCAATGTAAACATAGGTAGCACACTATGGTCATGATAACTGCGCTATAATTTTCTTATATACTACTTTTCTTTGTTCGAGTTCTCTTTTACTGTTTTGCGCTATATTTTATAATTCTAGAGGTTCCTGTTCGTGCCGCTCATTGGAATCTCCCATGCTTCCTAACTACATGGAACGCATCTATACATTTATGTGATAAAATTCAAGTACCGTGAACAGCTGCTTAGTATGGGCTTCAATGTACAGATATGTACGCTTTAGGTATTCGCATATTTCACCAGGCAGCATCATAGATATTTGCCACAATAAAATTTTCAAACAAAATTGTGTAGCTTCATGCCTAGGGCATTAAAAGCTAATTTTCTAGGTAATGCCACGTAGGTTTTATGATTAACTTATATTTTGAGTATAGTACTCTTTTAATAAAAGATATAAGAAAAAATAGGTATCCAATTGAGATTCTTTGGAGGGTTCCCTTGATAATTGAAAAAAGATTGGAACTTTTCAAAGCTGCCTTTCTGAAACCGTCTATTCGAACAAAGCATGTAATATTCTTCCAATTATGGCTGCATTGTGGTTATCCTCCATTAGCTTATAGCGATGTCTTCTGTTTCTGTTTCACGCCACTTTCAGTTGCATAACATGGTTGCTAGATATATTTGTATTTTTATTCTGTGTATATATGTAAACCTCTTTAGAAAGGTATTTTCACTATGAACAAGAATAGAACATTTGTTGAAATGAAAAATCTTATCTTGATACATAGGACTTTATTGTCCGGCTGTTCTCAACATGAAAACCACAGGATAATTTTGAAGTGTTACTTGATTCTTCATAGGAATTTTGATCACTAGATTTGGAAATCTATCTTCAAAAGTACGACCATTTGATTCAAATTAGAGCCTCAAGCATATTTTTGGACAGAACACGTCTTAACAAAATATTGATCTTTTCCAGTCTCCCTCGTATCGCAACTGGGTCTGCCTGCTCATTCAGGTGAGTTCGATGCGTCGTCGGTAGCTTTTGTTTAAGTACGACGCACACTTCGATAACGCTAATAGTTGACGAATACTAATGGCATTCAGATCACTTCACTTTAGCGTCCGTCCACAGAATGCTAATGGATATTCTTGGAATTCTATCGAGCAAGTGCGCGTGTAACAGTATAATTTGTTGGATTCCACCTATATGGACAGTATAAGTATGTGCATTCATATCTGCTATCAAGTTAACTGCATCAGGATATCTTTGAACGCCATTTCTTGGTAAATGTCTGGAATACAATGTGGTTATAGGTGTTTGTCCACTATGATCATATGAATCGTATGATACCCGTTTAGTTAGCGCTTCAATGCAGCTCAATTGTTGACATGATCGTCAAAAGGAGTATCTTTGTATACAGTATTTCTGCTGCATTTAGATAAAACTGCGATGATAATTGCTATCATATTCAGGATCAAAATTATCAACCAGATCTTCTTTTCTTCTGCTGCAAAAACAGATCGTCCCTCCACCCACTGTATTTCTCATGGATCGTGTGTGCGATGTCGTCGTCCAAACGCGTTTATATGGTGTTGTTTCTGCTTGGATGTTAACCGTATGAGGTAGATGTCCAATCAATTGCAGTCGCAAATATATTACATATCTTACAATTTTATAGAATTTTATACGAAGCAGCGTTGTCTACATAACGTAAATAAAATATGGAAATTGTATAGCTAGATGTATATTGATTGATCCTGTCTACGTTAACTTGAAAGAACTATAGTGCTATCAACATCTAATGATTGAGAATCAATTAAGTTTAGCAATTAAAATCCAATTTATAATGCAAATTAGAATTAGACAAAAAATCTCGTTTGATTAAAAGCATTTTGTATAATTCGGATGTTAAGTTCATTAAACCCATTTTTGTTTTAAATTTATGATTCAATAACTAGTAAAAAAGTGTTAACATAAATAATTGAACATTGTTTATTTTTTTAATAAGGATAATCAAAATGGAGTTATCCTTTTATACTTAAAACAACGTTTCAAAGTTAATGATATATCTCGGGAATCTGTGATTCGACATATAACAACTGCTTAACAAGAACATTATTATATAGAATACAAACAACAGAAGCTTATTTTTTCAATTCTTGTGTGAACAACTGTATATTGTGTTGTTGTGTGACGAGCTTCTGACTATTGGTTACCCATTGATAGCTTTTTTTGCCAAGACCTACTTGTGTAATAATACACCTATTTCGTTATTTTTATATAACAGTTTAATATCGCAACCTTTCAGTTACAATCCATTTGTTTCATTACTTAGGTTTAATTTACGCATTGTTATGATTTCACCGTTGTTTACTTGCTTGTTGGTTTGAGGATTCAGGACCACTTATACAGCAGGTATAAAAAAATTGCTGCCGAAAGTTAGTTGTATCACCAAGAAAAATCCAAATTAAAATAAAACTCGATGCCTACGTTTCATGGTATGATTTACATTGGGGTTCTTCAAAGCACTATTTTGGAGCCCATTTTTAGTTGCTATTTTGCTACTATCATTATTAGAAATGGTAGACACGTTGTTGACTTGTGAAGTTCAAAGTTGTTTTGTTGATCCTAAAATTTCAAATATTCCTGTCACTCTTAAAGAAGCGAGGCAGTTTATGATGTAACTGTAAGAAAAGAGTGCATAAAACAATTGAAACTATATTGCGCAATATTGGTTGCTGGTACTTAATTTTATTGCTTTATTAGTTCTCATATCAATTTTAGAGTGGGGTAGTGGTAGTGACGATGTCCAAAGTGTATTTATTTCGGAGATTTATAGAGTGGCTCGAATGCAGATCCTTGTGGAGGTCCTATTTCTGATTATAGCAGGATTCCTATTCCTCTTGTATTTTGCTTTACTTGTGGGCTCCACGATGCATAAATACTTGAACCTTCTTCAAGCTCCTGAACATATTTGAGCGTACAGAGTTTTTTTTTGGACATTCCACTATACAAAATTTGATTTTGGGATGTAGTCTGATGGAATGACATTAATGCGTGTAGAATATCAAGGTTATTGGGTAGATGGTGGTCATAAATATTTTTTGGAGTAACAATGGCAATGTCAATTTAAAAGACATACAGGTATTTACAATTTGAATCGGATTATCAAAGGACACTCACCATCCTTTTTCTGTACGATCAACGACAAAGGTTGCTGCGTATCCACAATCCCAAGATCATTCTTGACATTTCCAGCGTTCTGAGACTCCAACCGCAACTGCTGCTGATGCAGCCGGTTCTTGATTAGGAAGATCTTCGGCATGATGCCCAATCACTATAATCCAAATGTATCGAACAAGTGTCACTACATCACACAGCTAAGTCACTAGAATCGTCCGCTATCGTCACTGAACGTCAAATAGTGCCAGGTTCCGGACCTGGCGACCTGCGTTGAGGTACTGGACCGGAGGTACGACTTGATACCGGGTATGAGGAACCGGGGTAGCAATGTTGAGGTAAGCGGTTATAGTGGAACCACCGTTGAGGTATGAGTAGTACCGGTACCACCGTTATCGTGGCTGTGGGTTCCGCTGGCCTTCCAAGACTGATGACCGGTGCCAGTGGCAGTGGTGGCGTGAACCGTTGCGGGCCCCCTTTGCCCCGCACAGACCGCGGGCCCCCTTGCCATCGGTACCGCGCTCTAGCAGCCTATTCCAAGTCGCTTGCTGCGTCGGACAGGTACAGCGAGTGGTGGGGGGAGAATTGTTGCTGCTGGCAGACGATGGTCTGCTGGTAGATCGGCACGGCCAAGAGCAAGAGCATGGTCACGGTAAAGCCGGTAATACACAGCTGTGTTGAAAAATATACATAAAAGAACACGAGCAAAATGCTTTGCGTAGTGCCATCTCAAAATTTGGAATGATGGCTTCGCACAATCTCGGCATGTTACGGACCTATCAGAGTACTGTGGTAATACACTGTATAGGAATCATAAAATTAAAAGAAAAAATGGCGTCAAGTAGGTTGGCTCTGCACTTTCCACGCAACACCTTTATCAACGTAAATAGCAATATGTTCCGCACAAACTAGATTTTCTGAGAAAAAAGTCAGTCAAACAGGTCCATACAATTTGCCAGTAGGCAATGATTTTCTGCCTTACCGATAGTGCATCTGGAAACGTCGCCTCTTCCAGATACCTAAGTCGGGCACACGTGACACCGCGATAGCGCGGTCAGAGCATAGACAACACTATGGTGAGGTGCGGCAGACATACGTGTGATTCCAAAACAGAACAGTCATCACGGTCGGCGCACGACGCCAGCAGCTGCCTTGGCCTATGGTTACGCGATCCGTCTCCCGAAAATATCTATGACGTGAGAAATATGTCTAATAGGTGCGTAGAAATACTAATGTAGGGGGCGTATAAATGTACCAGTATAAAAAAATTACAGAGATAAGCCCTCCCCACCCCCTTACAACACCCACTCCCAAGTTTTCTTACTCCTAACATTTTTTTAAAAATTTCTCTTAAATATCATTTTTTTTTATTTTAGGCCTTTTTCTCTGCTGCCGCTAGACAGATTGACAAAAACTACAAATCTTTTGCATCCCCGACATAGTAGTAACATTCTATAGAAATTTCATCAAAATCCGAGCGGTAGGTCCTTCTAAAGTTATACGCGGTTTTGAAATTAGCGGACTGACCGACAATCACAGACCAACGGAAACGAGTGACATGGTTATTCGTGATGTACGAGCCCCTTCCCACTTCAGTTGGCCCAACTATTGAAATCTTGGTTTTTTCTTATCAAACACAAATAATAAAAATGTAGCAGGGTGTTATAGGTTTAAAATAACACATGTTGCAATTACAGCATATCAACCAATTTTCATTTCAATCCAAATTAGTCTATAACGCATAGGTGGCTGTGAAAAATAAACGCCATGACAATTGTTTTTATTAATCACAGCTGTCAGAATTCGTTTAAAATAGTTTTGGGTAGTTAAGGTTTTCAAAATGGGTAGAGGAAAGGTTATTAGTGAGAAAATTCGGTTACTGATAATTAATTTTTTAATTCTGGGAAATCAAACTCAGAAATTGCAACTTTGTTAGACCTATCGCGGTACAGTGTGAGAAATATTGTAAGAAGATATAACGTAACTGATTCAGTTAATATTAAGCCACGATATGTGAAAAAAAGTAATACCACAAATGCCGACCGAAGAGCATTAAGAAGAATAATCGTGAAAAACAGGCGTGCCAATTATTTACAATTAAGTGCTCTGTGGAGTGTCGCTGTTGGAAGGAGAATTTCGAGGTCCACAACTCATAGAGAGGCCCACAAACTGGGATTTAGCACTTGCAAGGTAAGCTTTCTTATAAAAAAAGTGCAGTAAAAACACTAAAGTTGCACAACTCGTTTATAGGAGAAAGAAAAGCCACTATTAACTCCACTGCAAAAGAAAAATCGGCTTAGATGGGCTAAAGAACATAGACAATGGACACCTCAACAATGCTGTCCAATACAATGGAGTGATGAGGCCCGATTGGAAGTTTGTGTTGGTGACAGTCGCAGTAGTTATTCGCAAAAAAATGAAGCATTCCTTGTTGACTGTCTGAAGAGAAAAGTGAAATTTCCAGCATCCATTATGGTCTGGGGCAGTATGTCATCAAAAGGAGTAAGAAAACTTCATTTCATTAATGGAAATGTGAATACAAACAAATATTTGGCAATTTTAGAAGAATCGCTTTTACCAGTGATGGAAGAATGTTTGACATCCGACCAAGATTTTGTGTTTCAGCAAGATGGTGCAGCGTGCCATACCTCAAAAAAGGCTATAAAATGGATGGAAGAAAATAATGTACCACTTTTGAAATGGGTTTCTAGCAGTCCAGATCTGTCACCTATTGAAACTTTGTGGCACGAGATGAAAAAGGTTCTACGACAACATCCCGCTCGTAAAATCATCGAACTGAGACAAAAGCTTCAAGAAATATGGGATTGTTTTACACCAAATTTTTGCAAAACTTGGTTAACACTATGCTCCAAAGAATTTCAGCCGTAATAAAAAATAAAGGTGATGTTGCCCAATGGTAATCTTTCAATTGTTACTTTGTTAACTTCGCGCATTTATTCGCACATTGCTTATTTGTTCAGATGTTCTATTAGTTATAGGTCTAAGTGATTTCAAATATGTATTTTTTACGACTAGAGTGTATCTAAAATATTTTTGAGAAAATAAATTGTTTTAGAAGTAAATAGTTTCGTCATGTTTAGTTTATAAAGGAATATTTTGGTACATGTCATATAACATTTAAAAAACATATCTCATTTTCGATTTTTTTTTGCGAAACAAACGTGTCACCTGGAGGACAGATAATTAAAATATTGTCAAAAGTATCATGTACTGGGTCTTTAACTGAAACGTATTCTACATTAAAGAAGAATTTGAAATGTATGTTTAATTGGACAGACAAACATGATCTCAATCTCTATCTTTTAGTGACAAGTCGTTTTTTTCGGATGTATGAGAATTTATCTTTTGTATTTTTTACCTTGTAGCCAATAAAGACATTGCAAAACATAACCGAAAGCTTTATCTCGAAAGATGAGTGTTCTAAACTCACTACTATTCGTTATTGACTGCTTGAGAGGTTTTTGGGACTTGATATTTATTCTTCCTACGCCCTACAGACCATCTAAACACAGGCAAATAGGTGGGCAGTAGTTTCAAAGTTTAAGTTAGTATGTCTAACATTAAACGTTTTTTGGAATAAAAATTTTGATTTTCACGTATAAGCTTGGGAAGCATCAAAAACTGTTCCATTACAGGTTATTTATTATATTTCTTACTAATGCAGGCTTTTTTCCTTTTCGTACAAAGATATCCCGCGGATATCTTTATTCTATATTTTTAATATTCTGTATAATGCAGATTCAGAAGCTTTAAACTTCAAATGCATAAATAACCCAAAGCTTGTTTTTGGGTAAATTGGGTGCCCATTTTTATATTCCATATAGGACCTGAATCCACTTAGAATTTTTTTATGACCAGATTCGACGTCATCGACCCATATTACCGCAGAATACTGAGTTTTTTGTAAGCATGGGAGATGAAAACGGAAACGTGGTGAAACTCAAGTTTAAAATCATACCTGAAGACAATTTTGAATTTTTTTTCGTATCTAGAGTCATTGGATAGCGGGGGGATTATTTAGACTTTTTTTGGGAGCTCCCTATCAAGGCGAGGTCCTTGGTACGCATCCTTTCTGCATATATGCAATGATTAACCTATTTTACCTGAAAATAGGCAACCTATACATCCACGTCTAAAAAATAATCCGGGATAAAATGAGATACCGTAGCGTTATTTATGAAAATTTGAGACAGGTGTTTCTCGATTTACTATATATACTTTGGAAAGGTGATGTCTCACAGATTTCGCTGGATCCACCTGTATGCTTTTATACAATATATCATATAATATTCGGTTGCATTTTTCATAAGCTTAATCCCGCTACATCCTTCCTAAAGCAGCCAAGTGAACAGGATTTAAGTAACTGAAAATGACGAGTGCGGCTACGTCTGAAAAAAAATGCCTACTAGTAATGGTTCTGTTCGAAAAATTATTCCATTGATAAATTCATCAATATTCAAGAAGCAAAAGTATCTAGACGGTCTCAAGAATGGTTCTCTGATGAATACCAGCCAGTTCATCAAATGGACACCACAAAGTAATAATTCGCAATTTAAAGGATAAACAGAAACTCCATACAAAATGCATTGATTTATGAGGGGTTAAGTATATAGTTCATGATATATTCAATTGAACATAGTTATGAGTCTTACATTACCTGTATGCGCTAATATCTATATCAAAGATTATAGACAAGAAACGAGAATCGACGAATTTTTAATCAAAGCCAAGCGAACTGTACAAAAAGTTTCGGGCTTGAGCGATAATTATTGAATTCATACGCTTTTATAGGCCAAGAGCTTATCTTTTACATACCTTGCAGTGATAACTCCATTTTTTTTACATAACTAGTTGTAGATTACTACCAAATTTTACAATTGCTATTTTGACTATCATTCATACAGTTGCTGTCAAAATTTCCCTACGCATTTGATGACACTGAGAAAATGGGGAAGCATAACGTTTGCAAAATTTTGCGATCGACTCATATTCAAAAAGTTACATCTGGGCCCTATTTTGGCTCGCCAAGTAGTAATGCGAATTCTGGTTCTGTTGGAACTTGAGGTTCTGGTATTTCGAAGGCTTACGACATTAGATACTTGTCGCAATCTAACGAGAGTATACTACACAAAGAATCTTCGATGTAAATGTATGAACTTCTGCTTGTCTGATCGCAGACGGCCAACCATGAACAGCTGTTTCATGCTATTTGGCAACTCGTCGGCATGGTTCAGGCTTGGTTTCAGGTAGGAGCTGAGCAACTATCCGCTATCCAAAGTATAGGTGCCATCTATCACCAGGACCGATCACTACGAGAGTGAAAACAGCGAGCTGCCTGTTGGGGCTGTATCCTAGTCAGACGACTGAAAGCTGTATTACTAGTTTGTTCAACGGCGAGTAAACCGTATCAACTATACCGACAATGCGAACTGGGATACAGTTCTATAGACAGCTTACTGTTATCACTCTCGTAGTGTTCCATTCCAGTAGTAGATGGCATCACCTTGAGCTATCTTATTTCGGTAAAGGGTCTCTTAGACCATCAAGAAGCTTAATGATAAGTGTGCAGTATTGTCAGTAGCCGAAAAACTTGTATAACAAAAGCTTATATAACCGCATTGCGATAAGGATTGCGTACACGACTGCCGAAAAATGGATCTCAGTTATAGCATGTAACCGAGCTTTTTGTAAACGTTAGCGGCATCCGCGCCGAGCGGTTGGCGGCATTGCGACAGCGCTGTTATGCTTTGGAGCTTCACGAAAATCGATAACCCCGAATTTCCTCAACGGATTCGAAATTGTAATGCACTTGCGGTTTTCGCCTTGTTTCAACCCGTTGGCCGCATTTACCTTCACCAGTGGCGTCGTGAATCTTACTAGATTATTCAATTTGAATCGAGATTACTTTACAGGTAAGAGTTTTTGAAAAAAAAGCGTCAAGTAGATAGACTTTATACTTCCCACGTCTTCCGAACAACTTGTAGTACAATTTTCCATGCAGTGTAATGGCATCAAAAAGACTTAGGTTTTCTGATGCCATTAGTGCACTGTAGCCTCATTTCTGTAGAGCTCTGTTTGTCAACAATGTTTGATACCTGATTATAATAGCTCTTGATACGTACTTATACTTCGTAATATACTAAGTGACATATAAATCCGAACACCCAGTTT